ATGATGATGATGATGATGATGATGATGATGATGATGATGATGATGATGATGATGATGATGATGATGATGATGATGATGATGATTGATGATGATGATGATTGATGATGATGATGATGATGATGATGATGATGATGATGATGATTGATGATGATGATGATGATGCTGATGATGATGATGATGATGATGATGATGATGATGATGATGATGATGATGATGATGATGATGATGATGATTGATGATGATGATGATGATGATGATGAGATGATGATGATGATGATGATGATGATGATGATGATGATGATGATGATGATGATGATGATGACTGATGATGATGATGATGATGATGATGATGATGATGATGATGATGATGATGATGATGATGATGATGATGATGATATGATGATGATGATGATGATGATGATGATGATGATGATGATGATGATGATGATGATGATTTGGACAAGACTACACAGCCTGAGACCAGGAGAAATTAAATAGTCAATTTAATTCAAATGCATGTTGTGTTTATAACCTCTCATCTAAGTTTTGATCTTAGGTTTGTGTATGATCTCAGTTACGTAATATGTTTATACTTGCTTATCTATAACATTTTTCTATCCATTCTGAAGCTGGGAATCCGAGAGTTGAGTCAGTAACCCACTGGCTGTAGTGTGACAACTCTAGCCATTAAACCGTTGCCCCACTATTCATCTATAGTAAAACTGAACAACACCTTAGAGTGACCCTGTGATGCTAACTATTTTAGCTGATAAGGAAATAGAAAGACTTATTCTGATAGGAATTAGGACCAGGAGATAATGTTTAGAAGGCTTGCACTCTAGCTGATATTAGTTTGTTTGATAGAAAACCTAACATCAAACAATAATCATAATTTCCATCATTATTTCCTAACGTATTTTGATAAATGAGCTGTGATCTTGAAGCTACTTGGAGGTTCGTAGTTAGTTATGTAGTGTCGTTTAACTCTGCCATCTTAAGTTGAACTAGATACCATTATAGCAGTATATATCTGAAGAAGACAATGTATCACATCTTACGAATATGATTCAAGGAACTATAAAGATGTATTTTCATTCTTATAAAACTTCACTTTCTTTAAATGAGTAGCTAAAGTCGAACCTTTGTGACTTAATGTACTATCTACTAACTTAATTATACACTTCGTTCACAGGATCTTATTTCGTTTACTTTTGATAAGAATTGATGATCACTGATTTTACTCATAAAGTTCTAATCATTGATTCAGTTGAAGTTGGATATTTCTATGTTTTACCTAATTCATTTTCCCTAGAACTGGAAAACAGGACTGACAGATGGAAAATTAAAAAAAAAAAGAAGAATGAGATTAGATGTTGGTTGGAGGCGGTCGACAGGAAATCCTGGACCCGGGTTTCGTGCTACTTGGCACTCTTCAGCAATGTGCGCCTGTAATCTCTGAGGGAACTGGTGCTCCCGACCTCCTATAGAACTGAGATGTAATCATAATTGATTGATCACTGGGTGGTGACCAATGTCATGTGTGTCTAGTCCTTATTATTAGTGTAGATGGAATGCTATCGACCATTTTGCAATGTGACCACCATTCTAGGGTCCAGGGTTTCTTGTCGACTACCTCCAACCACCATCTAATCTCACAATAGTGCCTGTAGTGTCGAGTCAACTAGACTGGTGGCCACATCGCAACATGGTCGATAGCATTCGATCTACACTAATAATAAGGACTAGACATACATGTAAATGGGTCACCACCCAGTGATCAATCAATTGTGAAGAAGAAGAACAATGACATAAACAATTAAACATTAATTTAAACTCATAAATCACGACTATGTGAATGATACTTTTTTTCTATCAATATTATCACCATGGCAACAAGACTGAACCGGATTGATTTACCCATCATCGTTACTACTATTCCTCTTTTCATTATTGTTTTCACAGTTTCACCAAATGAGTTTAGAATGATAGTCTTAAAACAGTGAAACATTTTCTAATCATGTTCATCAATCCTTAAATGGTTAAATTCTTTGGTAAAAGAAAATATATAAAATCAGTTGTCAAGGTTACCATTAATTATTTGTTAGGCATGAATATTTTCCAATTTGATTAGAAGTAGATTGGTTAAGTGCTCGCTCACGAAACCAATAGGTCCTGGGTTCGAATCTCTCAAGGGGTGAAGTCATGGATTCGTATTGTCAATAAGGAGTCCCATAATAGGATGAAAATGGCCATTCAGTGCTTCTCAGTTTTCCATGGTGGTGATCTAGTTTCAACTGATTTATGATCTTAACCATAGAAGTAGATTAATTGACTAATTATAAATAAATACTTAATTGATTGAATTACATAATATACAAGATTTTATTTGTATGTTGTATTGTGTTAAGCTCAATACTACTTGTAACTCTTCTACAGTTACTATCGATCCCAAACCCAGGTAATCGAGGAAGGTTATGCATGGGGTCGGCAAGGAATAAATTGATGATAAATTAGACGAAACTATGACAACACCAAGACAAATCTAACACATAAGAAATACAATTCAGTATATGGTAGATAAGATTAAAAGTTAGAGAAGTTCAACCATATCAGATGTGCAGTAGTTATCCGCTAACAGTGTTGGAATTCAATTGTGTAACATTGTAAACTAACTCAAGTTATTCATGTAAAGTACTAGATACCGTTGACTTAACGATCTAAAGTTTAAGAGTCAATTGAGTTGTGATAGTGAACTGTTGAAAGGTTTAAACTTCTTGGTTCTTAATAGTTGTTTAATTCAAGTAAATCCCTGCTACGAACTATAAATATCATCTAAGATTAATAAATGACCTAGCTCTCCTATCGCATGCACACGAAAAATGGAGATAAAGACAGCCAGCATAGCAGCTGTCTCTACATCAGTAGGCCTCAACATACACAGTGGGGGAAAACCAAGGTCCTCAAATACAACACGGAGAACATTAATCCAAACACTCTTGATGGCGAAACTCTGGAAGACGTGGAATCCTTCATATACACCTGGGAAGCATCATCGATGAACAAGGAGGTTCAGATGCAGACGTAAAGGTGAGGATTGGCAAAGCAAGGACGGCATTCCTTCAATTGAAGAACACATGGAACTCAAAACAACTTTCAATCAATATCAAAGTCACAATCTTCAATACCAACGTCAACACAGTCAGTTCTACTGTACGGAACTGAAACATGGAGAACTAGAAAAACCACCATCATGAAGGTACAGGTATTTATCAAAAGTTATCTGAGTATGATACTCAACATCCATTAGCCGGATACTATAAGCAGAAGCCTTTTGTGGGAGAGAACCAACCAGCTTTCAACTGAAGAGGAAATTAGGAAAAGACGAATAAAATGGATAGGACATACATTGAGGAAATCATCAAACTGCATTACGAGACAAGCCCTAACTTGGAATCCTAAAGGGAAGCGGAAAAGAGGAAGCCAAAGAACACATTACGTTGGGAAATAGAAGTAGATATGAGAAATATGAATAACAACTGGAAAGAGTTGGAAAGGATTACCCAGAACAGAGTTGGATGAAGAATGCTGGTAAACGACCGCCTATGCTCCTTCACGAGGAGTAACACGCATAAGTAAGTAAGTAAGTAAGTAAGTAGGCGAGTAAGTAAGTAAGTAAGTAAGTAAGTAAGTAAGTCAGAAAGAAAGTAAGTAAGTAAGTCAGAAAGTAAGTAAGTAAGTAAGTAAGTAAGAGAGTGAGTGAGTAAGTAAGTAAGTAAGTAAGTAAGTAAGTAAGCAAGTAAGTAAGATTAATCAATGACTAGTTGCTTAGATAATTATTGATTTACTATTTCACTTAACAATCATTTCTCTTGGTTACTAACTAAATGTTCACATGAAATAACACCTGATGATCTGTTGTATCTAATCATTTTCAATTCATCAAAAGTAATCACTAAGATTTTTCACTTACATTTGAATTCCATTAAAATTCCATCATAACCATCTCATAGTATGTTTATAGAAAGTAAGTAAACTTAACAGAGTGACTCGTAAGTTAAACAAAAAACAAACAGATGTAGATTCACACATACACACACACATACACACACACGTACATACACGTACGCATCTATACTACTATAGTTTGATACACATACATAATAGACACTTTCATAGGGATGGTTACGTAAAATACCTAATCAGTATAAAGTATTATATGACCTTTCAATTGGTTACTCATGTATATACATAAATAGCCATTTGAAGTCAATAAAAAAAAAAGAAAATCAGTAAAAGTACAATTTATTTGTACTGAGCATGCACGCACACACACGCACACACATACGCACATACACACCTACCTACGTACGCACGTACGTCGGATCATCTTAACTGAGGTATGCTATAAAAAAAAATGCCAAAATCTTTCCATATTCATAATTCCTTCCAATCTCTTTATTATATTTGTCAAACTAAATGAGTTATCAATGAATAAATGAATAAATGATAAGGTACAATGTAGTTTTTTTTTTGTTTTTTTTTAACACTGGAATAGAAAAATCATGTGTACATTATTTTTTGTTGCTATGGGTGTATGTGCGTGTGTGTGCGCGCATTATATATACGTGTGTGCGTGTGTGTATATATATACGTGTGTAGTGTGTGTGCGTGCGTGCCTGCTTGTGTGCGTGTGTGCCTGCTTGTGTGCGTGTGTGCCTGCTTGTGTGCGTGTGTGCGTGTGTGCGTGCATGTGTGCGTGCACCTATATTCTATGGAATACAACAATACAATTTAATTCATATATATATCTACAATCCATTGAATTGTCAATCGTCAAACACAACTTATCCTGACAACACAATTGTTTGATTAGATCATATTTGATAAAAACGTTCTCTTTATTTTATTTTATTTTTTATTTTTTTTAAAATAAAAATAAAAAAAATAATTCCACATAGAATTTTCTTCAACGTGGATTTCAATCGAAAAGACCTAAATCAATGGTAAAAAGTGAACGAAGAAAAAATGTTAAACAGTAAGTTAATTGTATCATTTGAATAGATTTTATATTCATTTATATATCTGTTTATTTATATCATATTTATATTGAAATATTTTGCATAGAAACAACTAGTAGTCGTAGTAGTAGTGTTGCTAGTAGTCGTAGTAGTAGTCGTAGTAGTAGTAGTAGTAGTAGTAGTAGTAGTAGTACTGTTGGTAGTAGTCGTAGTAGTAGTAGTACTGTTGGTAGTAGTCGTAGTAGTAGTAGTAGTAATAGTAGTAGTCGCAGTCGCAGTAGTAGTAGTCGTAGTGCTAGTAGTAGTAGTAGTCGCAGTAGTAGTAGTCGTAGTAGTAGTAGTCGTAGTAGTAGTAGTCGTAGTAGTAGCAGTCGTAGTAGTAGCAGTCGTAGTAGTAGTGTTGGTAGTAGTAGTAGTAGTCGTAGTAGTAGCAGTAGTAGTACTAGTAGTGGTAGTAGTAGTGTTGGTAGTAGTAGTAGTAGTAGTAGTAGTAGTAGCTGTTACCTTGATGTGGTGGTAGGGCTTGGCTATCGTGATGATCCAACCGAGCTATATTGGTTGGAACACATGTTCCTATAGGTTCTACCATGCCAGGTAGGTCTATTAGAGAACGGTAAGACTAAAAGCAGCAACTCAAGGTGTGAGGGTGAAGTCGTACTGCTGATTGTACAGAGGTATGAAAGCAGTAAGGTGTCTCTTTCGGATAACCAACATCTGCAGCGATACTATCTTCTCACAAGCAAGGAAGGAGTTAGAAAAGGTTGACCCTAAAAATGTCATAACTCACCTTACCCCATGGATTTCCGTCTCCGGCGGTAAGGCCGTTTGATAACGGAGCTAACACATTAAAAATCTCCCACAAAAAAGCCGTGCGCGATCGGCCTTAAACAGTTGTCCCTTGAGCTGTGTGGTCACATTCCCAGGTTCTTAAGATTAACAACAATCCGATTTCCTTCTAACCTTCCTTAAGAAATACCCTTCCACGGTGTAGACAGCCTAGAAGTGACATCAGTCCTCATACCCGTAACAGCACAGGAGACCAAATTGGTCTTATTCAAATCCTTCCTACACCTCTTAATAACTCTCTTATCTCCACGACTAACCCTTCTCACGTCCCTTTATCACCTCGCCCCGCTAGTGCAGACTAGATAAAACCAGGCTGGTTTTCGACTTAGACGTGGTTGTATAGACCAGATATTCACATAACATTAGGTCCTAGAACATAAACACACATTCAGACGCCCCACAATGGCAGTATTTCTTGACCTTAAGACGGCATTTGACTCTGTTGATCGTGAGGTTCTTTGGCAATGTTTGTCCCTGAAAGGAGTACCAAAGAAGTACATTAACCTTATAAAGGCTCTCTACTCGAACACAACTGGTCGAGTGAGGGCTTATGACGAACTGTCATCAGAACTGATTACCTCAAGTGGTATTCGTCTGGGCTGTCCACTCTCTCCATTCTTGTTTAACTTTGTTGTTGACGTGCTTTTACCGATGACACTTTCCTCATCTAAATTTCCACGAGTTGAACTTCTACCGGGAGATCCACTTGTTGACTAAGAATATGCCGATGACATGGTTCTATTTGGTGAAGACGCTGACAAAATGTAGAGTCTGTTGACCACTCTAAGCAACAATGCAAGCATCTTCGGCATGCGATTTTCTCCATCGAAATGCAAAATGTTGCTTCAGGATTAGGTTGCATAGACACCCGAACTAGTTAGAGGGAGTGAAGTAGTTGAGCGTGTCGACCGCTTCACTTATCTCAAAAGTCTCATCAACCCTTGTGGTCTGGTGTGTGACGAAATCTCAGCACGGATACAGAAGGCTCGACTAGCTTTTGCCAACTTGCGTCATTTATGGCGTAGGCGAGATATCCATCTATCAACCAAAGGACGTGTTTACTGTGCAGCAGTTCGTTCCGTCCTACTTTATGGTAGTGAAACATGGCTAGTAAGAGTAGGGGATATTCGTAGGTTACTAGTATTCGACCATAGGTGTCTTCGAAACATTGCTCGTATATCCTGGAACCACTGAGTAAGTAATGCAGTTATTGGGAAACGGGTACTAAGTAATGATGACAAATCAATTGATGAAGTAGTAAAACTCAATCAGTTGAGATGACTGGGACATGTGTTTCGCATGCCCGACCACCGACTTCCCCGACGTGCTATGTTTCATGGTGTAAGAGTAGGTTGGAAGAAAGCTGGGGGCGGCCACAATAAGGCATGGCACAAATCCATGAAGTCACTGACAAGTGAACTGAGTGAGCCATGTTGGTAGGTGTAGAATACCTGTGTGAGGTCCGCAAGATGATAGTAACCGATTGTTGGATACCCTGAATGACATGACTCGAAATGGTTTGCAATGGTGCAAATGCATCCATTCTTTGTGTTCTCCCAATTTCTAATCTTCTGAATTCTTCATGTCCCTTATTTATTCTTTCGAAATTTATTTCACTGAACTATATTCCTCGTCAGCTGGAAACACCTGCATCTCAGAGTTGATGTTCACTCTGAAACTCGAACTCGGTACCGGTTGCTTCAAACTTCATCGCGTTATCCAATTAGTTACTGAGTCCTGATAGCCACTTGCTTATGCAATGGGGTGAATTTAAATTCACTTGATATTGTTTGGCTTGTATCTTCCTATTGAGGTTTAAGACTGCAATTGATGAGTCTGTTACTGGCATATGTGCATATTGTGCGTATGCCTCGATATAGTTTTAATTCATAACCTTTTTGTAGTAAGAAATACCAAGTCAACTCTTCGGTTGATAATATATTTTAGTCTGACTCACCTACCCCACTGAACCTGCCAGAGATCGAAGCAGCATACACACCTTCCTATAGATGTCACCCCACCAACAATACAATACATCAAAATCACCATCAGATAAATCAAAGGTGGAAAAACAGCAGCATCAAACAATTTACCTGTCGAAGTGAGTGGTGTTTGGACATACTCAATAAATGTCCTAACACTAAAAATAATATCACTGGTTGAAATCATGAGTCCATTGAAGCTAGACACCAACATGGAAAACCTGAAAGCACTGGATGGCCATTTCATCCTAGTATGGGACACCTCCTTAGCAGTGCACATCCACGACCCCGCTACCCACGAGATTCGAACCCATGACCTACCAGTTTCGCGCCAGGCACTTAACCAACTAGATCACTGAGCCAACCGGCATCCAACGATGTTAATGTTTAACTTCAACCAATCCACGAAGTTGCGCCACTATACACTATTATCTTCAGTGAGCTGATATCTCACAACAGACATGGTTGAAATCCACTGGTAACAGCTTCTCACTAGAGTTCCAGGAGTATTACTTGAATTCAGTCACTAGTGAGTAGATGATGATTATTATTATCAGAAGGGGTTGTGTGAAGATTTTAGAAATATCATTAGTTGAAATCATTGAAATCTTTCTTATATTCTCAAGTATCAACCTAAATTCATATGACTTTGTTAGTCTTTGTCAAGTTGTCTTAAACTCTAATACAATCCTAATTATACTACTTAATTGAATGAATCACTATAATAATAATAATACTAATCGATTAAATGGTTAGTTACTTGTTCAATCAATTAGTTGATTGATAAAGTAATGGAATGTTAGTTTAGTTTTTCTAAAAAGAAACGTTTATATGCATATGTATTCCAACTGTTTAATCATATTAGTATGATTTTAGTTTCTAGCTTATGTATAGTATATCTTTATTCGTATGAATGACAGCATGTCCCTAGATGCTGTGGTAAGGCCGAGAATGGAGAGAATCCGCTCTCCCTATCGAAATGCTCTCACATGGATACGCGTATATAGCATCTGCCAAAGAAGTCCTACTTACTGCCTTCTCGTGGTGGGGGTGTTGTTTACGAAAATGAGAGGACGAAAAGCGAATGTCCGGCACTTGAACCGGATACCAAACTAATGGTACACATGGGTTGGCTCCAGTATCCTGCCTGAGGGAACAAATGACGTATGAACCAATCATTGGTCACCGGCTACTATGGGACTGCATCTCCTTACGATGCTCCACCGCCTTGTGGGTCAGATCATTGTGTCAAAGGCTCCGGGTGTGACCACCTACTTCGGTTTGGGCACCCGAGTAGTATCACAGCCCACACACATATCAAATAAGATCTGTGTGGCACATATGTATTTGGTACCTCCTTGTACCTATATCTATATGTTAAAATAATAAATAATAATAATAATAATAATAATAGACGTTTATATGAACATGTGTTTGTAGTCGGTACAGAACAGATAGCTAGTACAGTTCCCAGAATTTTTTTTTCCTAACCAATCTGTTACACCGAAATGACTTCTGGAACAGATTGATATTAGTATTGGCTAGTTGTGACGTCTTCAGGAGATAAAATCACTAACCAATTGACTAGGTATACTGATATGTGAGAGGATGGAGAAGATATATAGCTTAAGTGGATGATGTAGTGTTCGAATACTTCACTTCTACCTGACATTTATGCTAATGATGTCGTTCAAAAGAACGATGAAAATTTCATGATCAAATCATCTAGTTCAAAGAATAAAACTCTACCGAATATTGATATGTTTTAGTAAGTTTCTGGTCGTCTTGATAGTTGTAACACAACTGTGAAAGTGGATATGTGAACAAACTCATGATCTCAATCAAAAGCTTAATAATCTCCACAACCCCAATACTGATAATTAACATGTACACACTAGTGACTAGCTTCGTGAGGGAATTCTCGGAGTTCTAGTGAGAAGCCGTGACCAGTGGAACTAATCCGTGTCGAGTAGAGACAGGTATCTACCTCAGTACAATGGAAGATGGTCGCGCAATTTCGTGGATTGGTTGATGTTAGACACTAACACCATTGGATGCCGTCTGACTCAGTGGTCCAGTAGGTTAAGCGTTCGCGCGCGAGACTGAAGGCCCTGGATTCGAATCCCGCAAGCGGGATCGTGGATGCGCACTGCTGAGGAGTCCTATACTTTATCAATCTAATCTACGGT